TGACCATCATATCCTATTACAGAGACTGGAACATTTCATTGGCTAGGGCTGACACAAGTCATCGATTACTAAAATGCATCGACACAAATTCTTTGCATCAAGGCTTCGTTTAATCTACAGCACACCATTTTGCACATTTATTACTGTTGCACATCGCGTTTACGGTGTGTGAACACGGCATGACTATGATGCCGCTGGTTGCAAAGTGGAGGAAGAGAGAGAAAATAGCGAGGGACGAAGAAGAAAGGAAGTATGAAACGAAACTCATGTCTCCTCTGCAACAGGTGTTCTGCCAGCGAGCCACAGACAAGGTAACAGCAACTTCGGCATTTAACTGAAATCATGATTGATTGTTGAGTTGAAGGCTAGCCAAAGTAAACCGCAGTCCTCAGCTGAAAATGTATACATGTGCGTTTGTTCTCCCGGTTGGGCCGTGAGTTTGGGTTGATTCATGAGTTAACTGGGTGTCGGGAAGCTGCACCTCAGTATAACTTGTATAGCACTCAGCTGATGTTTGTGTTGGTAAAGCAGCTGTCTGTTGTTGGTCTGATGTTTGCTGTATCAATTTCCAAAAGGACAAATAAATATCTATCATCTATCAATGTACACAGCTGATCCTGTTACCATGGGGGGAGGGCCGCAGCCAAGCAAAAGTACTCCTTAAAGGATGCACTGGTGAATCGTGAAATAATCTATGGAAGCTTCTAGTACTAAAATGCAGCCCTATAATTGGCATTAAAGGAACTAAGCTGGTTTAAGTCCTATTTATCAGATCAATCTCAGTTTGTACATGTTGAAGTGAAGTGATGAAGTACTTAAGGATACTGGTGTCGACCTCAGCTGTAATGTTTCAGTTGATATTTTGCTCACATGCTGTTTATTCCATAATAAACTGTTGTTTAATGAAATAACAACAACCTTACTGGGCTGCTGATCTTCCATTATAGGAGGACTGGTTGTTTCTATTAAAGGTAACAGGATACAAACCCTCTGCACACAGTTTGCTCCTCCAGTGACTTTAAAGTGAAAACTATCATCTGTTGTACAAACTGAAGCTCCTCTGCTGCCTCCTGCTGGCTGCTTCCTGTCACTGTCAGTCTGTTCATCCCTCAGGACAAACTGGAGAGCTCCTCACAAAACATTCACATTAACACAACAGCTGCATTTACTACACTGCTGTACTCAAGTACAACACTCAGGTACTTGTACTTTACTTTCTACTTCTGCTCCACATCTCAGAGGGAAATATTGTACTTTTACTTCACTACATTTATCTGACAGCTTTAGTTACAACTTACTTTACAAATTAAGGTTTTTACACAAACACATGAACAGTTTATAAAATAAGAAGATGGAGAACAGACTGGAGATTATGAAGACTCGGGTGACTTCCTAACATAAAAACCATGGAACAGCTGCTAGTTAATGTAGCCACAGTACAAATGTATTCAGTTATCCTAACGTTACGTTACACTTGTGAGCTCTGATATTTCCTCACTCTCCCTGCAACAAATGTTTGTGAACACAGAACTGTCCTCAATGCAAACTCTGATGACATGCTATTTGCCTTACAAAAGTATTTTTACTATGCGAGTTTTAGAATATATTATGTCTAGTTGCTATCTATTCAACTTTCAAGCTCGTCCTCAGTTTTTTTTCTACTCCTTCTCTGGTGACCTCTGTCCTCTCCATCTTAAATTACTGCAGTATGCTCGTCTCTTTGGCTACTTTTAAACTGTTCATGGACACGTAGCAGGTTTTTAAGGCCAAGGATGGTCACAGACAGGAACAAATGGCCCAGGAGTTTGTCCCTGGTCAGCCCACTCTCCAGGCAAAGCGTTTGTGGTGGACTCCTTATTCCTGCATCCTTTAGAATTTTAGTACATAACTAAATGAGCCTTCAAAAATAATAAAACTAGAAACACCTAGAGTAAAGAAATCAACTCAGCTGAGTCCTTGAATACAATAAATAAATAAGCCATATCATCCTCATCAATCTTACCATAAACTGGTGCTTTGGACTCGGCAGGCTTTGACTCTGTTTTGCCATCTATTGCTGCCTGTCTCATGTTCACCATATCAGCGCTAGTACTGGTGCTTTGCAGAATCACAGGCAGCCAAAACAATCTGATTCTTCCTGAAGCATCTAAATAATCTTTACAACGCAAAGAATCATTGTGGCAGTAACACGGAGCAGCTCAATGTTGAAGCAGGTAAACCTGCATACAGAGGAAGCTGTGCGTCATGCTTAAAGGCCAACAGGACTGTTTTATACACACACATTTTCTCTCTCTGTTCATCTAAAATATTATTGTTTGGTGAATAAATAACAGCTGCTGAGTGAAAGCCATGATTAGTTTCACCGCCGACTTTCTGTTTATGAACGCACCGTCGGACGTTCCTATAAAACAAATAGAAACCAATGTGAAAGAACAAAAGTAAGCGATGCTCTTTTCAACAACAGGATACTGTTAAAATATCAGAATGAACCCAGTGATCATCAGACTTAGATGTTACAGTGTGCAGTCTTCATTTCCTCTGCAGAGACCAAATACGCTTTTAACGCGCAGTTAATGGAAAGTCATAAGCGGAGGTAGCGTGGGTGCATGGGGGCGGCCGAACCCAGTTTGTGGACTATGAATTTAATAACGGTACATGACGCTGCGCGGTGCGAGGAGAATTCAGCAGCTCTTATCAAATGAAACAGTCCCTTCACTCGTGGTTTCAATGGTACCACAAGAATGACAATTACCAACAAAACACACTAGATTCTAAAGAGACACACTTTAATAAACATAAATCGCAAAGTAACATTTGTATTTCAAACAAATGGCAAAACATATTAGCACATTTTAACAAAACTCCCTTCACACTCATGCATCATGGGAATTCTGAGAGACGGACGCAGGCCGTCTACGGTGTCCACAGTGGTTTATTTACTGCGTCAACTTCCACTGGAAGCATTTCAGCAGCGAAGCATGCAGCCTGCCCCACGTTAATGACTTGTGTTTAATGGTTCTTTTGCGCTTCTACTACTTTCTTCAAAGCTCTCTGTGGATCGCTTTCGTTTCTCGTCTTGACGGGTGCATCTAGCAAATACCACAGGGAGCATTTCAGAATCACTGATTTAACTGTTTATTGTTGATGTACGATCGGAAGTCTGTAACGGGTATTTTATTTTGAAGATTGACCAAATTCTCTGCCGTTTCTGTGTGTGACTTCCTGCCCGGTCCATCTGCTCTGTGCTGCTTGACGCTGGGACGCTTCCTGGACGCACTGCAGAGCTTCTGGTGTGAGCACAAACATTTAGTAGAGAGGCTGCTCCGGCAGCGGCGAAGCAGACTCTATGGACTCGGGGTCGTGTAAACTTGGTTAATATGACTTTGTAGCAGGTAACAGTATTTCATATGCTGGCTTGTTTAAGAGCAACGCAGGCTGCTTTCTAACAGGCCACCAGTACTACGGTGAGCGCTCACAGTTGTATTAGTAGAATAATAAAACTGAAAAGGTATTTGGCTGATTTTCTAAATGTTTGCATCTGCCCAGCTCTGTGACAAGCGCCCGAGACCAGAGCTGATCTGCGTAACTGCACACAGCCTGGCTGACAGCTAACTGCAGTTAATGAAGCAAAATGCAGATTACAGACTGGTGAAGTTATGAATGTATGAAAGGAACATGTAGCAAAAAGTAGATAACTGGCCCAAAGAAAAAACTCGAGTAGGCTAAAGAGTAAATGTACACTTTTAAAAAGGTGCCAATAACTTAGCCTATTCATTTTTTTTATTTAGCAAATTTGCGTTAGGCTACTTGTGACAAATTACTACCCACCGTGCTGCAGGCGTCCTCGCTGCTGTCTCAGGAAGGCTATAAGTAACAGCAGCACAAAAGAAAAGTCTGTAATATCGAGGCACTTTGCTGCACCTGCCTCAAGAAAACTCTTTTTTTTCCTCTAACTTTTCAGCTCCACCTTTGCATGTTTTCTATCTGCCTACATGATTTTTTGTCCACGTTTCAACCGTTTATTTAGGTCTAATGCAGAGTGTGTCATCATGGAGACACACTCCGCATTGCCGGAGAAAAGTGAGGGGGACAAAACATAGATTTTTAAATTTGGGAGGACACATGTCCCCCCATGTATAATGGCTCCTACGCGTATGAATAAACAGCAGAGCTGAAACATTTCTATTAAATATCTACAGGCCACCGAAATATTCTGTTGTTTATTATTGTAACTGACTTTGAATATTATTATGGGTATGGATATTATAATAGCTTTATTTATATAGCGCTTTTAAAACAAAACATACACAGATATCTCCCAAATAAACTGCTGTGTAATCTCAGAAACAACTGATGTTGACGGCTCAACAAAGTTTTTCTGGTGAGGACAAAACGTCTAAATCAGTCTGTAATGGGGAAAAGTGATTTAACATGTAGGCTACTTTGAATTATTCTATTAAATCATGTACTATGTTAAACAAAAGTGGAGGAACGCCCCACGGCCAAACTTCAAAAGAGGATGTTTTGAAAAGCTGAGCACCAGTGGAGGAAAACTAAACTCCAGACTGACTCTGAACTCCACAAATACTCTTCAGAGCTGAAAGCTGCACGACGATCATTCAATAATAACGCAGGCAGACTGTTTGTCACTGTGAAAAACTCACCAACACACGAGGAAATATAATGACTCTGCTTCACTTTTCACCAGCATTTTTTCTGCTGCGCGCTCCCGACACAACACGGGCTGCACCGCGCATGCGCCAAGCGGGAAACCCCGGAACAAAGAAAAGAGAAACGCTCGTGAGTTTTTCTTTCAGCTTCCTCTCTTCAAGATGAAAACAGGAATCACGGAGACACTTTGGAAATCAAACCACGTCAACACAAACCCTGGAGCGGGTTTTCAGGCTCTGATCTCTAACAACAGAATGAACGGATGATACACGGACCCTCGAGACTCTTCCTCGTGTCTTTAGTCTCGTGATGAAGTCATGAACACTGACCTGAACATCGGTGCTATCAGAGCACGAGGCTGCTGTTTGGCTCCTGTGGTCCGGGTTCTGGTTCTCCATCGTCCTGCAGGTCTGTGACTGGTGGACCGTGTTGTCCTGGACTGAGTCTGGCCGAGATACAGAAGCACTGCTGGATCCTGTGGAGCCTTCTTCTTCTTTTGATTTGATTTGCGGTTGGCAACTAGCGTTCAGGAGCATTACTGCCACCTACTGGACTGGAACAGATGATTTGCAGACTAACAAACTTTAAAACCAAATAAACAAACAAAAACAATTAAAACAAAACGAAAAACCTATATCCTCCATTAACCCGTATCCTTCACATATTTAATTGGGTGCTTAGATATTTCCCATTTCTTAAAATAAATGGTCTTTTACAACTGAACTAATCTGTTTTTCAAATTTAAAAGCACTCTGAAAGATCACACCTAGATTCTTGGTAAATGGACGACTATACATTCCTAAAGTACCAAGAGCATCTACACAAGCTCTTACATGTCGACCGAAAACAACAACCTTGTGTATTTATATAGTATTGTACCAACCAGGTCTTCTTTGTGTTGCTCTAGCGTTTGTATAGGTTGAGTTTATCTAGAATATTATCAGAGTATCACATTTCAGCTTTTCAGAAACACAGATAAAAGAATATGTTGTTTGATCCAAACTGGACCTTTTACTGTTGTGTCGGTCACACTGGGCCAGATCAGGACAATTAATGTTTCTTCTGACTGTCACACTGTACAGACGCCAGACTCGGGCTGAGAACCAGGTTTATATTAGGCCAGAATAAACACAAACAAGTGGCTCATATGTGGGCCAGATTAATTTTGCTACTTGGAAATAAATTTTTAAAAATGGATCGTCATCTAATGTTTAAGAGTCTCACTCTGCTGTTATGATGGAAATTTTCTTTTTGTCTTTGCAGTGTTTCACCTTTATATACCACACTATTATAGGCCCATGTATCACTGTGTGGTGCTTACTGCTTTGATATGTTGTCATTAGGTTTATGCAGTTTTCATGGGAAAGTAGCTCATTAGAGGTTTCTTATATTTGTGCCCTTGATAGACCTTCGTCACAGAACTGTTGGTTTTTACTCTCTTCTTACCCGAGACAGCTGCGTAACACCCTTTGAGTATAAAGTCACATGTTTCTTCACTGGCTCTTTGTCTTACACTCCCACAGACTGGTTGCACTCTGTATGTTTGTCTGAACCTTTGCAAAGAATAAAACCTTTAAAGACATCAGGATAAAGACATCTTTTTTTCAGAAGACCCACGCAAGGGAAAGTTGCACTTTAACATTTACAGATCTATCTGGGTTTGAATTTGTTAAGAAACATGTTTCCCTCCCTCTCACACCATATCGCTAAGTCTTTTCAAAACTAGAGTATGGTCACTCTTTTATATTTTGAAGTAACTGACAAACATTGAATGCAACACTTATTTACCACAAACGCAATACTCTTTAAGAACATTTAAATATGTCATACTTCAAATACATATAAGGCAGCGCCTACTTTTAAAGTATTTCATAATAAAAATTTGTCTTTACCAGAAGCTGCTTGAGACAGAGGGACCGGACCCAGCGACACGAGGGGGCAGGAGGGGGCTTTTACCCCTTAAGTGCAATTTGTACTTCAGCGTCAAATCGACGGCCTAGCCTCTGTGTAGCCCCCTACCCTACGCCGTCGCATGACATGCACCTCCGCAAAAAAGTAACTACACGTCGAGTCGACGTGGACCGTAAGCTATGTGATTGGTCGGCTGGGTAGCTTTGCAATACCTCCGAGCCGACAGGAAGTGCCTGTGCTTTGAAGTAACTTTTACTAGCGGCCAAAACGGCGGCTGTAACACGGTGGAGAGCAGCAGAGTAGCGAGAGTAACACAGACTTCATGATCAGATATCACATCCACACTTCTGTCCATATCCCCTCTCTGCTGTGAGTCTGTAATTCAATCAGTCAATTGGTGTTTTTCGTAATGCGCCATTCATACGCTATTATAATAGCAAAGTACAAGCGCACCTGGCTTTAAAAGGGAAATGACACTGATTGGTGTATTGCATGTTATGCCCTAAGCTCCCATGACTAATTCACAGATGACCCTTTTGAACCATGCCACCATGGTCTGCCGTGCAACTGCGCCAGGTGCTTCCCTCGACATTTTTAACTGCCCCAACAGAAACATAAACTAATCCATGGGAAATTATTGAATATCCGTCAGTGCAGCAAAAGACAACTTTTATACAATTTAAAAATTCTCATTAGAAATAAGTTCTTAAATACATACAATATGCAATCCAGGTTATTCTATCAAAACATCCTGATGGCCCCCTGGTAGTTTAAATAATTATATGATGTTGGGGGTTTCATGTCATGATTGACAGCTGAGCCCTGGTCATGACTGAGTGCCTGAATGGACGGCTCCTTGGTACACAGCTCCAACCCCTGTCATTACTGAGTAGACTTTTGGCTTTACTTTTGTAGAGCGGGAGGAAGTGGAGATGCAATACCGAAATATCACCACTAGGTGGCAGGTCAATAAAAGGAGAGAAGCTCTGCTGGAACCAGATGTGATTATGAGTGAGGACATAGTGTTCAAATAAAAACATGGTACCAGCATGTTAAAACACCACAACTGCCCTTCCTGAGTTAAATATCTGTTTAGAAACAATTTAAATTAAATATCTTCACTGTATAAACACAGAATATTGCAGGTTTATGATAGATTTCAGATGCTTGTCAAACTGTTTATTGTTAGAAGGAATATACAAAAACCTTCAAAACACTTCTGCACTTCAGGTGATACGTGTGAGCCCTCTAGCTGATTGGCCGCCGGGAGTGTTGGGACATCTCCCAGTGGCCTGCGGGCCGTTTTGGCCTGCCTTTAATTGTCACCTTGACCAGCGGCAGCGATAATATAAAAAGCTTTCTTTATAATCCAGCAGAGCGTTGATTCTGTGAAAAACAAAATCAGTCCATTTACAAGTGATACAAAGAGAAAGGCAACTGTTGTGTCCAACAGCAGAGGAAAACCACTGGTGGCCCCGGCAGAAACCTGTACTCTTCTCGGGATAATAATAATACTAAAGGCTGCAGGCTAACATCATCATGTTTTTCATCTATTTCTTGTCTTTAACGGTCTCCTCCTATCAAAGACAGTAGGACAGTTTAACAGTTCTCCTAAAGTCAGGAGAGTTTATTTAAGATTTTACAAAGTTAGGATGCTTCTGTAAAACACTTTTCCTATCTTAAGTTAGGAAAGGAACATTAACTCAGGAACTGTTGATCTGTAATGGCCTTTTTCCTAAATCAGTTCCTAACCCTTATTACCATGGTTACCAAGCAGTTATGATAATCTGCCTGTTAGGAAGTTTATGCAATACGGCCCCAGGTCTATAGAGAACATTAAATATATCTAGTAGAAATCATTGAAAGTTAGATGTGTGTTTTTTTGTGCTTTATGGATAACGGTGACTGAACATTTTTATCAATGGGTTTTTTTTGTAGGCTATAGGAGCTCCTTTTGTACTTTTGCGTTATAGGCCTACTTATTTTCATTGTTATGTTCAAGTTCAGGGGTGTGTGTGACGTTTTTTGATATGATTAATGTTGTAGAGATACAATTTCAACATTTGAACAAACTCTGTATATCTCATTCTATTTTTTAAAAGTGTAGCTAGACTTATAGTTTGTTTCTGACCTTGTACATTTGTATGGTGCCATCAGTGTGTGAATGTGCATGAATGTTATTTCCATTCTGATTAGCAGTTGGCACCTTAGCCCACCTCAGACCATTTACCACTTGTGGAAAGTGTGCATAAAGGGCTCATAAAGTCTGCAAGAGAGAGCACACATGCACTTGACGATTTGACAGTGGGATTGCCCCCAGCGAGAATGCTTATTTGATCAAAACCGCGTGAAAGAGGCTTTGAGGTATGTTTTCTCTCATGTGGTGGATGTCAGAGGTGTTTAGCAGCAACCTGCAACCAGTTTTTCATTACCCTCTCCCGGAGAATCAGAATCAGAAAGCTTTATTGTTACTGAACGTAGTTCAACGACATTTGAGTGCAACTCCTCTTCAATCTACAGTCAATAAAGATAAAGATAAAAGACATGTTTCCATCTGAGGTCACATTTCTGAGGCATTTCTCAAAATGTTCACAACTTTTGGTCCTTTTCAAAACCACAAGCTGTTGCTGGCACTGTGCACTGCTTAGAAGACCTACAACGCTTTCTCTCTACAGTTTCCACCCAGACTACAATACAGCTATACCAAATGTGGTTTCATAGAATGCACATGATGCAATACTGCATTGAGTAGGGTTAGGGTGCCTTTTCCTGATTATACTTACTTTTATTTAAGTAACATTTTCAATGCAGGATGATTATTTGAGAGAATATTAAGGAAGTATTTTTCCAGAGTGAAATCAGTATTTGTTTTACCAAAGTAAAAGTTCTGAAATCATCCTCTACTACTGTATAAAGCTGTGAAGCTGCTGATATTCCAAAATGTCCTCACTTTCCAAAATGTCCTCACTTTAGAGGTCTAAAACTCACACTTACTGTTACCATAACAACTACATCCCCGATCTAAATACTAACATACCAAAAACCAGGTCTGAACCCTGAAATGTTTTTGTTTGTGGGGAGTCAGCTTTGATTTTGGACTCTTACTTTGTGGTATTTACCTTGTTTTTGCATACTACAACACCTGCACACATGTACACTCATGCAACCAACATTCTGCCTGGACACTACTGAACAGACTACAAACCCCATACTTTGGTTATATTAGTTTGAAATACCCTTTCAAGTTTGCTTAACCTTGGTTTAAATAAACATATTTTGTTAAATGTTTACCATGGCGTGTCTCCCTTTTGTTGTGGCCTTTGAGCCAGGTCATAACCCTCAGTATGAAGAATGTAACATACAGCAGCTATGGTGACCTAGTTTTCTGTAGAAACACTGAACACAAAGATACTCAGAGCCTCACTCTGTTAGCCACAACCAAACCACATCAAGTACAAGTATCTCTTAAAACACACAGATAGAACCACAACAACAAAAAAAACTCATTTGTTTACTCTGAAATGACTCCAAACCACAGAGAAACCAGGAACAACTACTAAAACAAATAAACGATCAAAACCTAATTCAAAACGTTCAGAATTACAAAGATGAATGTGTATTATGCCCTTCCTGAACGTTGGTGTTTAGTTTAGCAGTTCTCTAAATGAGAGACAACATATTTCTGTTTCAAGTTGTTTATTTGTTGCCTCCCACATGAAGGTACTGTAACTAAATACACAAAGTAAAAATACATCAAATCACACACTGCAAGTTACAAAAGCATCCATCAGTCCACTTCATAGCGTATTATATAATGGGAATCTGTGTGTGTCTGGCAGTAAATGAACAATTCAAGCTTAAAGCAGTGATTTCTGTTATGGTCTGCCATGAAGCGGACATGGGATAAAGCGGTTTAGGCCCAGATACAGACACTAACAATTGGGATTTTTTTGAGGGTTTTATTTTAACAAACAGGTGACACAGTTGAGATGGGTTTGATTTTCCAGAAACAAAAACACAGTAATCCACAACCCAATAGGTGACGGACAAGGACACATGACAAGTCAAATCCACAACGAAAAGAGAGAAACACAAGGAATAATCCAATGTCAAGAGACATTAAGCAAAACTCTGGTGTGAACTGTCGTGAGCAACGAACACGCAATGAGTGACAGACAACCACAACACAGGAGGGATTATGGTGATGAGCCTTTTCTGTCATATGCTGTATCTTGTTAATATGCAAATGTTTTGAACCTTCAACAATAACTGAAACCAGCTATGTTACTGGTCTTGTCAAATGATCAAAGCTAGGATAATGTTGAAATGTGTGTAAGCTAAAGTTATATGCTCAGTTTGCATTATTTATTTTTGGCCAATGTATTCCTTCAGTAATATCATTCATTCATTTTACTTCAGTCACAGAGGGTATCCTGAGTAAATGTAATGTGTTATTTACGTACAATAATTGGGGTTCATGTTGATAAATATAGGTGTGCTCAGGAGGGGGAGTGTGAGCAAAAACCATTGTTGCAACCTTGGTAATTAATTAATATTTTCCACCGTTTCAAAATGAAAGTCTGTTGTCTGCCAGGTACACGGACCCAAAGTACTTATAATCTGTGTACAGTCTATATATGAATTCCTGTTCTTAATTCCTGTTTCTACTATATGTTGTAATTCTATCATGTCTTATGTTTACGTCATAATTATATTATAATCTACATCTTACTAATGTAAACTGTCTGTTCAGCTCAGAAGTGATGCACGGTGCTGACCACCACAACGTCCTCAGCCAGTCTCTCCTCACCTTGGTTGTGTGGTGCTGTTGCCATGGAGATGGGATTAGCTGTCATAGCTAATATTAAGATGCAAAACTTTTTAATTCATATATTGTGAATAACATCAATCAACACTGAATATCTGTAACTGATGTTGTGCAATACTTTAAGACTGAAAGGTCAGTGAATGATTCAGAGTGTTACCTGTGGCCCTGCGTCGATATAAAGACACCATGAGGACAGTGGAGATGCAGTACGGACAGAACACCACCAGGTGAAAGATCAGTCTGAACACAAGCTGGGGCGGGTCTGGTGTAGTGGAAGTGGCAGATGTGGGCGTGGCTGAAGTTGTAGGTTTATCTGTAGAGAGAATCCACCTGGTCAGGTGACTCTCTGGATGAAAGTCCTAAAATCAAAGGTAACCTCCTCACCTGTGACAGAGATCCAGCTGGATGGAGACTCTCCACGACCTCTGATGTTACACTTGTAGAGGCCTTCATCAGACTTGTTAACATGGTGGATGGTCATGTGACCTGTAGGCTCAGTCCTGATGAGGGAGCCATCTTTATAGAAACCAGCTGGGAGGTTGGAGGGAGGGGTCTCTGTTTTACAGTGCAGAGTGACATCATGTCCCTCCATCACAGGGAGGACAGGACTCTGCAGGATCACTGGTCCACCTCAACACAGAGACAAACTACAGCATTTCATCATTTACACACAGCTTCATCAACACTAACTCCACAGTCTGATCTTACCAGTGACAGTGATGTTGATGGTGTTACTGGTTGCTCCCTCTCTGGACTCACACCAGTAAACTCCACTGTCCACTGGGAAAATGTAGCTGATGTTACAGGAAGAACCAGCTGATCTTCCCCAGTCAGATTCACACTGAGTCCTGGTTTCTCTGCTTGTGTTCCTCCTCAGCGTCCATCCAGCAGAGCTGTCGTCCTCCTCACAGCTCAGAGAGACAGACTTCCAAATGAAAAACTGAGCGCTGTTGGGACTCACAGTCAAACGAGCTGCAAATACATTATTACATTTTCAATAAATAAAAAACATTTCCTTGAATCAACACATGCTGATGTGTTTGATGTTGAACAGGTGAGATTTGTTGTTTTTAAAGTACAACTCTAAATAAGAAGATACCAATAAATATAATACAATAAATTTAATACCAATCTTCCTCTTGTAATAAATACCCATTGTCTTGTAATACAGATTGTTTGTGCAGACATGTCATTTATTCTGTGCATGGTCTGATAAATGCGGCCACTGGGTTCTACCTGATAAACTGAAATCAAAAAATCTGACCTTGAGCAACTCTCAAGATTCCTACGTAGAACAAGTCAGTGGGTTTCAGACGTTGATAGAAAAAGTTTACTCACCTTAGTTAGATGTGCAGCAGAGCAATAAGATCAGAACTAAAGAGAAATGTAAACATTTCAATCAAAATGATGTAAACATTATGTTAAAAACCAGTTCATTATGTTAATAAAACTATGTATTTATAATTTAATTAGAAACTTTTATTTAATTTATTTTTCTCAGCTGATGTTTTTAAAGTGTACTTACAGAGCAGCCACAGTCGAGATGTTTCCTGCATCTTGAAACTTGGTTAAATCTACATTCTGATCATTTTATGTTCACTTCAAGTAAAACCCTCCTCCTTCCTCTGTGACTGCGGCTGGCAGTTTTGTGGTTTCCGCTCCACAGACTGTTATGACAAAAAATGTGTTGTTAAGTTGAATCAAGGGAAATCATTTCAGTTTTAAAACGAGGCTCTGAGCCACACAATGAAGTGAAGAGAGACAGAAAACTAAATAAAGACACTGAAAGCAACAACTGACACAGTATGTAAATAATCACCTGATTATGATGCGTTCAATGAACACTGCTGGGTGGTTTATTGTTCTGATATCCTGAGCTGAAAATGGCAGCTGCTCTTTTCAACATGTTTATTTGAAGCTGTCAGAGATTCAGTACGAAGTGAATTGATGATGATCTGAACAGCTGGATCTCCCTGAAGGTCACAGCGGTTCAGTTGGGAGGAAGTGAATATCTCTTCCTGCCTCAGCTCTCGGCCTATCTGTCTGAGGATTTATTGAGCTGAGGATCTTGTGGAGAGCATCCAAATGGGACAGCCACAATAAAGCAACCTGGTCACTGGCTCGCGAGTAGGTTTCCTGGAAGCCAGATATAAGAGACTCTGTCCCAGAATGGTTGATCAGTTTCAGCCTGATCCTCAGACTTGCCTGATTCTCGTCAGTCAGCTTGCTTCTGTCCACCCGATCCCTGGCATACTTGCTGCTGGCCTGATTTCCAGCCTGCTAGTTCATCTGCTTCTAGCTACTGGTCTGCCTCTTGCTCCTTGCCTGGCAAAGAGGATTCACAAACACAATCTGGGGCATTTATTTCTCTATTTACATACCTGTCTAAAACGTGCTAAGGAACCTGAAGTGACGCACGCTCCTAGTCTTCAGTCGGCGAGCCGGATGGCCAGTCCCTTAACAGCTAGTTTCCAGTCTAATTCACTTTCAGTGATCTTCTTGAAGGAGACATGCATCTCGAAGCCATTTTGCCTCTGAGTCATCACTGACCAGCTCTTCATCCTCATGGCTGTGTCGTGTAAAAATTCAAGACTTGGGCCAGATAAGAAAGCTTGAACCTTTACCAACATTTTTATTATCAACAAAAACAGACACCAATTAGAATATAAAAGTTCCACCAGAGTGTTTCAGAGATCGGTGCAAAATAGAGTCCCATTCTGTTACCAGAACAGAGACCCGAGTCGACATGAAAACCATGTAACGACTGACTTTCACCTCCTTTTATTGCTCTGTTTCTTGGCTTCACATCATCTCTTGGCTCTCTTTCCTGCTGCACCTGAATCTGGGGAAGTCCCTGACTGCCTGCTCCTCCTCTCTGTGTCCTCTGCATGAACTCTGCTTGATCAAGCCATTTCTTCCATAACCTGACTTTTGTGGAATAAACTGGTGTTGTTTGTGCTCTGTGTTAGAAACAGGACATTCTTACTGTGATGGACTATATTGATGTATGTTTTGTTATACAATTTGCACAAAATCTGCTTCTATATTTTACTTTGCAGGTGTTTTTGATGTTCCCTCCCTTTTCTCCCAAAGCACAAGTGCCTGCTCACACACACATGTGCTACTGTTGAGTCTACTGTTGAGTCTGGGCAGTTAGATACAGAAAGGATCACACACTCAGAGCTGTAGAGTTTTAACACTGTGATCCTAACTTTACACTATAAAATAACACTTTAAATGATGACAATGTAGACCACCATTGCTCTAGTAATAAATGATAACAATTTAGGCTATAATGCTCCAAAATAATTCACAACACTCCCTCCTCTGAGGCTGTAAAGCCTCACACTTCATACACCAACACTGTGACCACTGAAAACAGGCGACCTGTTGTACTTTGGCATATGAAACCTATTTCTCAGACTTGCAGACCTTGAAGAAAATACCCAAATTAGTGTTTACACGTTGTGAAATAATCAATAATCATGCGGTGGGATGTTCCTGTTTCTAACACATTACTCCTCTCTCCTTATTACCCTTTAAATGAGCTTAACATATTAAACTACCTATACGTGCTATAATATAGTGAGATATACCTTGTAAATGGTTTACACTTGTGAAACAAATAATATCTTTCTTAACAATTATAACAACACCTAATGTGTTGAAAGGCGCACATCATCAAAACAATCACATGGTGCAGAGTGAACTTTCCAGACATAACAGTGTTTCAACAATCATTCATGTGACACTTCACAATGGTGCAAAATGTCCGATAAACATGTATGATGTCCTTTTTGAAAGTTTAGTCCGTGGTACTGTGGAACTTATTTTGGCACTCAGGTTTCTTGGGGAACCAATTTGAGGGCGCTCAGTCGTTTGTAGTTTCAGTCTTGTTCTTCTCTTTGCTGCTTCACTTGGACTCATAGCTGGTGATTGTCAAAGTTGTCTCTGTGGTGATGCAGGTCACGCTTGATCTTGCCTGCTGCTGTGTCTGCATCACGAGGCCTCATAGGAGAGTGGCCTCCTCTGGTCTTTGACTGGCTGTGAAGGATTATTTAACTTGCTTATCTGTATCTTACTCTTACCAATAAGTGAGCTTTATCCTACTGTTTGTAGTTTGGAGACTTTAACTATTGTTTCTATCTGTCTAATCTTTTTCTAGATATCCTAGATATTATATTTGCTTGCAATTTAACCCCTCTAACATCCTGTATATCTGTGTATTGAATTACATTGCTATTGGATGTACAAATAGTAAATCTTGAAACACTCCATTATTCATTAGTGCACTACAATTCTTCCATACTTCAAACTAGTTTACTAACCCTACCTCCAAAAACAGAAAGAAAACATAGATTAACACAGATGTTCAACAAAAACAGAAAGAAAACATAAATTAACTCTGGTGTTCAACAAAAACAGAAAGAAAACATAAATTAACTCTGGTGTTCAACAAAAACAGAAAGTAAACATAGATTAACACAGATGTTCAACAAAAACAGAAAGAAAACATAAATTAACTCAGGTGTTCAGCATCACACGTGTGTCTCAGGTTATCAATACAGCTGCTTGGTTGTTCCTGTGGAATACATGACAAAGGTCAGTCATGATTTAATACTCACAATCATCAAATTTAAGCATGCAATAGCAATGTGCTGCTGAAATTGCTTTATAAAGGCTTCAATGAGGCTTCTCCTTTCGGCCTCTTTAAAATCAAGCCTGAAAGGTTGCCTGTCATTGTATTTGCTACACTGAGGAGCTCTGCACTGGCTGTTCCTCTGCACAAACCCAGAGCAGACAGTGATCTCTAACAGTTATAATATAAAATAATCCCACTAGATCCCTTTTTTCTAAAAACTCTGTTTAAAAACACAAGGAATGCCTGATGTTCTGATCCCTTTTTGCTGAAATTTAGTATCAGGTGGCTGCTGGAGGAGAGCAGGACACCAAAGTTATTAACTCAGTATATTTTGTTATTGTTATATTTGTGTTAATGAATCAATTATTAATGACATATCTTGCTATTTTATAGATCCTGAGCTAACCTTATTCTCTGTCTGTCTTTTATGGATTTAACATCAGTCCCTATTCTAGTCCTATCCTAGTTCTTTTTTCTTCCCCAGTCTTTCTATTTTTTCTTCTCCTACAAATTATCAACACTCCTGCTCCCAAACTCCTGTGAGGTCTTCAAACTGTTCTTTTTCAGCAGATGTTGCAGTTTTCAAGGCCTCTGACAGTCTGACCATTTGTAAAGTTGGTCATGGTGAGACAGAAAGCGCTTCCTTGGTGAAGTTTCTGTCAGCACTCAGTCTCATGTGAGAGCATTTTGGCTGAAGTTCATTTTCACTGTGAAGCCTTCTTGACCTTTTAAACTTTGTGCTGTTAGGTTCACAGTCTTTAAGGTGGTGTTGTCCTCTTTATGATTCAACTGTAGATGGTAGATGTGGTCTGACTGGCCGCGTCCTCAGCATTGGGAAGACGCTGACGTCAGTGGAGGTGGGCTTGGGCCTGTGATGCATCAGGTTGGCACGCCTCCTGTATCACCTCCCTTTCTTCCTCACAGTCAGATTCTGCTGTGTCTATTTTGAAGCTGCTCTCTCGCCTTCTTCATGAAACTTCAGAGCTGCCATCTTGTCCATTGTAGCTCTGTCTCGCTGTCGTCATGTCTCATGGTTTGTTGTGCTCTGCAGGTATCTTGGTCTGTAGGCAGACAGTTGTCTTTCTGAGATCTGTGCTATGACGAACTTTTCACTTCGTTCGGGAGTTGTTATTCTTTCTATTCATATCTAGCTCTCGTCTCCTCCCTATCTATTATAGCCTCTCTTTTTCCATCTCTCCTTTATATCTGAACTCAACCCTTTAAAGACCCTAATTCTTTATTCTTCTTCTTCTGCCTGTACTGGCCCTTGACTGCACTTACTTATATCTTTCTTCCACTTGCTGTGTACGTTTCTTCATCTGCAGGTATATCTATTTAGACCTTATCTAACAGGATGGGCTCTTTCATTATTCCGTCTCTGTGACTACTTTTCCTTCACTAAAGGCTATATCGTATGTCAGTATTATCTACCTGCTGGTCAAACTGTTTCTCCCTATTTTCCTTTTATTCTGATCTTTCTCCATCTCTTATCTGACGTCTTTTATTTTATCTTTAACTACTTAGTTGTGCTGTTACCACATATGTTACTGCCACAGCTCGCTCCTTTGACCACCTTTGCAGTTAATTTTTCTTTTTTCTGCTCTTTACCCTTTAATTTCGCCTGCTGTGTGCCTCCCAGGACAGCCATCGCACACTCACTGCGAGCAAACACTTACTCTCTGGAAACTTTAGAATTTGGACGGCCTTCATGCCTCGAAAAGGAAAAAGACATTTAATTGTAAAGCCACACAGCCAAGAAACTAGAATGAAACAATTCATTTAAAGAAACTCAGGCAGCTCCCCTTGTTTTTATATCAAAGAGCTATTCAACTGAAAAATCATCAAAGTAGTGTTTACTAAAAATAACTAACTTCAGTGAAACTAACAACTATTAAAATATCAAATTCATTTTCTCACATCTAATACAAAATTGATGGCTCTCAATCCCTTCTCTAACTTAAATCCTTCATAGATAACACCTCACATTGCTGCTATCAATCTGTACTTATCTTTCAATAAATTTGCAGACTTTATCAGATGTCATCATTTTTCTAGTTTTGTTCCTTCTCCTCGACCAAAAAGTGTCTTCAGCCTGTTATTCTGAACTAAATTTCCTTTATTATCATAATACTGTAGGCTGTTTCAACTGCACTTTTCCTTTCTGTATCCAGCAGTCATTGCCGTTATTTTACTAATCTGCTCACTGTCAAGCTGTTATTGGTTTAAAAAACTTTTATAACTTCTGTTATTATTAACTCATGAGTAACTTGCTATAACGTGCTGTTGTTATCTATAAAGGTGCAACAAACCACAATACTCTCATAACTTTTGGTTTAGGGCTGAACTGCTCTCTTTTTCTCTCTCTCTGCCTGCTGTCCTCCCCCACATGGACACTCACACAGCTGCACCTCAGCTCCTGCTCTGTTCCTCTCTGCTAACATGAGCAAACTCCTTTTTTCTTTTCTCTTCCAGTCTTCATTATTCGGGCGTGGACTGCCACTTCAGAACTTTATTTTGCACATAGCTTTATCACATTTCAATCTGAGACTGCATCAAAGCCGTCTTTTACACTATACTAGTCCACATTCACTATTTCATCAATATATATTCATATATCTTTTACTTTATAACTCCTTCCATCAACTTCTTATACTTATTTATATCACCATATCAACTCTATTCATCTGTTATCCTTAAGCTTTATGTTAGTTTAACATTAGATCAGTTATTCAACTATCATTATTTTATACTTTTTAATCTAATGAGGCTTCAAGACTCAAACTATTAGTATTATTATTTTAGGCCTTGGTAACATTTATATGCACTTTTTCTTAACACACAGCTATCAACTATTTTCAGCAATATTTACATGCACGTACGTCTTCTGACTCCTATCTCCTGCCGGCTTCTGACTTTATGTACATTACCTAGGCTTTCAGCTGAACTAGTCTGATCCACTTCCTCAACACAGACTTAATTTACACTGCCTAGGTTTAATTCCAAATTAATTAGCCTGATTCACTTCCTCAACACAGGCCCAATTTACACATAATATAGCCTCTCAATCCACTTCCTCAACATGAGGGCTTAGACAGAAATGATTCACTTCCTCAACACAAAATCTGTCTTTATAAA